CCCCCCCCCCGGTAAATAACGTATTTGTTCACGTATGTGGGAACTCGCACCACAAAGACGCATATTATCGCATATTGGAAGACGCCAAAGACAATTGAAGTGATAAAAAAAAAAATAATAATAATTGAAATCACTCACCGGTGTTGGGTGAAAACACCAGCTCGGTTTTCACCTCTCCAACATCTCCACCAACTCCCCTGGCCATTCCACGATCAGCAAAAAGAGCCTTTCCCCCGGGATATGGCTCCTCTACGAGCATCACCTCCAGTGCAGCCTCCCAAGACCTCCGATGTAACGCACTAAGTCGCCAAAAACACTCACTGCACTTCAAAATCACCACACACTCCCGTAAACCACTAACGAGTCCCGCCAAAAAACATCGGCCCGTCAACGAACAAAGGATTCCTCCCCCCATTTTCCCCTCTGCCGCCACCACCGTCTCGCCAAACCGGCGCTATTTTCCCAATTCAACTAATCACTCCCCAAAAAATTCATATCACACCGAAAAATCACTACACATCGCACTAAACCATCACAATTCGATCATCCCGCCATAAAAAAGACTTTCCGTTAATAACAAAGCCCCTCCCCCCCGCGCCATTTTCATTCCTTTGTTTCAATTTTCATTCCTTTGTTCTCGCAAGCACCCAAAATCCCACCAAATTCTCATCTAAATTCGATTAAAATATCGTCCACACTGCCAATTCACCAAGAGATACTCCCCACTGAATAATTTCCTTCATTTACGTCCGTATTTCGATCAAAACACGATAAAAATCACTTTTTCGTCTTTGTTATGCGCATTGCCCGTGAAAAAATCGCGAATTGTACCGAAAAAATCACAATTATCACTCCAAAATTAATTAAATGTTCGTCTTATTCACTGCTGGAGCTCTTTATTATATTTTTGAAGAGCTCTGAACACCCCGCCAACACCAGGTCGACGATTTTCGTCGAGCTTCGGTACGCGGTCTGAACTCTCGGCCACTCACAAAGAGACTGACTGGCAATATTCGAATATGGGGGGGGGTAGCGTCGGTTCGAACGTGAGCAGCGCGCCAGGCTGCGGGAACAAGTTTAGACCTGTTCGTAGACGAGCGGTACCGCGCATGCGCTGGGACTGACGCCAGCTCAGTTTTGCCAGTCAGTCTCTTTGTGAGTGGTCGAGCGTTCATACCGCGTACCCCGAGCTCCACGAAAATCGTCGTCCTGGGGTTGGCGGGGTATTCGAATCACTTCGAAAAGTGAATAAACAGCTCGGGCAATAAATATAGTGAACATTTCATGAATTTTGGAGTGATAATTGTGACTTTTCTGGAAAAATTCGTAATTTTTTCCTGGGACAATGCGTATTACAAAGACAAAATAGTGATTTTCTTGTGTTTTGATCGAAATACGGACGTAAATAAAGGAAATGACTCAGTTGGGAGCATCTCCTGGTGAATTGGCCGTGTGGAAGATATTTTAATCGTATTTAGACGTGAATTTATTGGGATTTTGAGTGTCTACGTGAACAAAGGAAAAAAAATTGAGACAAAGGAATGGGAAATGGCGCGGGGGGAGGGGCTTTGTTATTAACGGAGAGTTTTTTTTGTGGCGGGATGATCGAGTTGTGGTAGTCTAGTGCGATGTGTAGTGATTTTTCGGTGTGATAGGGATTTTTTTCGGAAGTGATTCGTTGAATTGAGAAAATAGCGCCAATTTGGCGGGATGGTGCGGTGGGGGAGGGGAAAATGGCGGGTGAGAGCCTTTGTTCATAGACGAACTGTTGTTTTTTGGGGTTTGGTGGGACTCGTTAGTGATTGATGTGAGTGTCTGGTGATTTTCAAGTGTAGTGAGTGTTTTTGGAGACTTGGTGAGCTACTGCTAGAAACATGCTTTTTGCTGATCAACTGCTGCTGGTCGAGTGCCGAGAGGAGTTGGTCGAGAGGTGAAAACCGAGCTGGTGTTTTCATCCAACCCCGGTGAGTGATTTTAATTTTTATTTTTTTTTGTACAAACTGTCGATCGGATCATGTAATTTTCGTATGCACACTCGACTGTTTTGAAGCCATAATTTGCGTCTCCCAATGGAGAATATGCGTCTCTGTATTGCGAGTCTTCATTTACGAAGATAAATACATTAATTACCGGACAAACGGATTATTCCCTATTTGATATGATTACGATTGAACAAAGGAAAGTCCTGACTCGGTACAAAATTATTTTTACAATATGAAACAAATGCGAAATTGATTCTATTCCTACATTATCAAGTGCCACAAAAGTGAGTTCTTGAAGTAATTTCGTTCTTCATTTCTCAAAATTCTGGGGCAATTTTCTGTGTGAAAATTTGCAATTGGTGTCTTTGATCTTCAATTATCCTCTCAATTCTAAGAGACAAAGTCTGGTATTGGAAAAAATCGTTTATTTCTCTGGTTTTCTGAGGGAAGTTGGTTCTATTCATGGGGAAGTCTCTTCAAAATTCACCTCGTGGGTTATCTAGATGTCCAAGATGAGATAGTATTCGGAGAGCTAGTCGCAGAGACATCTAGAGGCTGACTCTGGTCAGGTTGGACTCCTGCACGTGTTTAGCTTATGTTCTGCTTCCAAAGTCTCCAAGTGTCGTTGTCAATTAATTTTCCGAAACATTGAGGGTAATAATGGGTAAAGCCAAGAAGATCAAGGTGACCAAGGATGTCAGGCCCGATAAAATCCCTTTGGGGGATCAGATCGAGGGCGAGAAGTCAGTGAAGATGAAGAATCGACAGAAAATCAGATTCCGCAGGGATGAGGATGAAGAGGTTAGGATTCTCATCATTTCTGGGTTTATTCGATTATTTTGATGATTGCTGGGAATAATTTAATAATAATTCTGTCGAAAATTCCACGTAATGATTATTTAATTCAAGGAATTCATTAACAACTGAGAAAAATATAACAAGTCGACTTGTTCAAGGAATATCTCAGCGTCCAAGAGAAATATCGAAATTTCTCTGGGGACCTTTTTCGTAGACCGCAAGAAGAGTTGAAAAAAATGTGTCCACGAAAATTTCGGTATCTCTCTTAAGTTCCGAAATATTCCCGAAAATAATATTTCGATCCTAAATTAATAATTGAAAAACCTGTTACTGGAAAAAAATTGTTATTCCCGTAATTTTTGAATTAATAAAAACCCAGCATTCATCAACTCATCGAATCCTCTAGTTCTCGTATAAAATTCCAGTTCCACCTTCGAATTTCAGTTTGTGGACGCAAATCTCTCGCAAAAAATTCTCTCGCAAGCTCGAAAGCAGCAATTGGAGCTCTCGTCAGATTCCCCTTCGTCGTCTTCCAAAAAACCCGTGACAAAATTAGGTCCAGATTTGAGCGACGATGAAGATCCACCGAGTGAAGACGAGGTGACGAACCAGGACTACTATGAAGACATTGAGATAAACGAAGAGGATGAGAGAGCACTTCAGATGTTCATGGACAGAGATCGAGCACCAACTCGCACCCTCGCTGATATAATAATGGAGAAACTCACAGAGAAGAAGACGGAGATTAACACTCAATTCTCAGACGTTGGATCTCTCCAGATGCAGGAGCTAGATCCCAGGGTAAAGGCTATGTACGAGGGTGTGAGGGATGTTCTGGTTAAATACCGAAGTGGAAAACTGCCTAAGGCCTTCAAGATCATCCCAAGCCTCAGGAATTGGGAGCAGATACTCTACATCACTGATCCCCCCAGGTGGTCAGCAGCTGCTATGTACCAGGCAACGAGAATATTTGCTTCCAATCTCAAAGAGAAAATGGCTCAGAGGTTTTACAACCTAGTTCTCCTCCCCAGGATCAGGGACGATCTCGCAGAGTACAAAAGACTGAATTTTCATTTGTATCAGGCCCTCAGGAAGGCCCTCTTCAAGCCTGGGGGATTCATGAAGGGCATTCTACTGCCTCTTCTTGAATCTGGCACCTGCACCCTCAGGGAGGCCGTCATTGTGGGATCGGTTGTTGCTAAAAATTCGATTCCTATTCTGCATTCTTCAGCTGCTATTCTCAAAATCGCCGAGATGGAGTACACCGGGGCCAACAGCATCTTCTTGAGGATTTTCTTTGATAAGAAATATGCGTTGCCGTATAGAGTCGTTGATGGAGTGGTTTTTCATTTTTTGAGGTTCGAGAGGGAGACCAGGGAACTTCCTGTTCTGTGGCATCAGGCTTTTTTGACTTTTGTTCAGAGGTACAAGGGGGATATCAGCTCGGAGCAGAAGGAGGCTTTGCTTGAGGTCTTGAAGAAGCAAAATCATCATTCTATTACACCGGAGATCAGGAGGGAACTCATGCATGCCAAATGCAGGGATGTCGAAGGAGTTGAAACCATTCCTGAACCCATGAATTTGTGAGACGAATATTTTGAGGAAATTTTGGTGTAGTTATCAGATATATGTGAATAAAGCTGTTGCCTTTTTTTTTCAATGGGTTGTTCGGATCTCTTTCTATTAGTCTGGAAATATTTTATTGGATTCTTTGAAATGCGCCATTTTTTAAAATCAGTTTCCTAGTATTTTCATGAGATAAATAATTGGGATAATTTTGGGGAACGCGACAGTAATGAAAAAACGGAAATAAATTTCACGATAACACATGTTTATTGGGGCAAATCCGATTTTATCGGAATGCGGAGAGTAATTTAATTTCTTATTAATAAATTTAATCGTAAGATGACGCATTGATGGACAGCAATAGAAATGTTTCCTCTGAAATCTACATCATATCGAACAAGTTAATTTGGCTGAGATAAATTATAGCAAATTGCTTGTGTTCAACGATAAAAATTTATACAAAGTATAACATTCTTCTTAAGTTGAAATAATTAACATTACTATTTACAGAAATGTATGGATGAACAGATTGGTAAATTAATTGGTGGTTGTATTTTAATTTCGTTTTGTTCGCTAGTTTAGGGAAATGCTTGAGCAACAGCTTGAGAAATATGTCGGAAGCGTTCCTCTTTCGTACTCGAATGAAATTTTAGTTCCCTTCGTTCGGTTGAACTTTGGAATTTCTAATAGCAGTTGATAGGAACGCGTGAGAACAGTCTTTTGGTAACTCATTTTTTCTTGAAGAAACTTGTGATGCTTTTTGAGCTAGCAGCTGCTTTTTGCCTTGCTATTTCCTTTTTTGAGACGGTTTGGGGTTTCTGGGGCTGAAAATCATCAACAAAATTTATTAATTTTTTTCCCCATTAAACAAATTATGGAGAAAACCCTGAAGGACAGTAGAAAATTAAGAATTTGGTCGTCTTTATTTGTAAATATATCGGGAAGTATTGTATTTAGAAAAAAATGTGAAAGGATTTATTTGTGGGTTGTGGAAGTCTCTACAAAAAATATTCATGACAATTTTTCCCAAATTGTCATGAATATTTTTTGTAGAGTCAATTGTTATCGAGATAAACCCACCTTTTCTGGTTTCGTGAGATCGAGAGCTCGTGTCCTGGGGGACTCGTCGTCCAGCGAGTCCTTCTTCTGTCGTTTCTCCTCAGGAACTTCCTTGGGACTCATGAGCTTGCGTTTATTTTTGTTCTCTTCTTCGGGTAGGTTCATGTTTTGGGCAAGTTTCTTTGATAAATCCTCGGTGAGATATTCCGAGACGATACCGTGGGCGTATTTCAGGTATTCTGCAAGGAAAATTTCAATAAATCCATTTTACAGTGAAATAATTAGACGTCAGGGGACAGATTTAGTACGCAAATCTAAGAAAATTTTGAATAATTTACCGCTATCAGTCCCTGCCTCGTATTTGGTACTCTTGACGTAATTGGCACTGACAGCTCCTTGGCTGACATGAATGCCCTTCTGTCTAAGTACATCGGCAACCCTCTCGACTTTTTTTTGGAGCCAACCGAGTGTTTTTTCCTCGTTGTACTTGTATGCCTGGTATGACTCGTCTCCCTTTCTGTCTGCCACCAGTGAAACTTTGAGACTCTGGCATCTAGCAAGTCTTATTGTCTCGGGATAATCCTCATCCCTGAGGCACTGGTCAAGGGGCAGCACTTGTTGTGCCTTCCTCAGGTACGGTAGCACCAGGAAGATGGGGTCGATGGGGGTTGACAAGTGCATTTTTCCATCGGACTTGACGTTCTCGTCGATGAACCACGAGCGCTTGTTCTCGTCGAATGTCAGAACTTCTTGAACTGTTTGGTCACCAGGACTGAAGACAAACATTGCTGGTTGGTTTGTCGCTGGGTGACGGAGTTTCACGATGTCTGGAGGACTTCCGTCAGATCCACTGACACCATCTCCTGGGTCATAAAGTAATTCGTTAGTTTTCACATTGATGAGGTTTTTTTCTCGACTTCGCATATTCGTAATTATCGATTTATCTCGGAAACTGACAATTTATGGTGGAAATGGGAAAGGAATGCTTTGGAGCTTGATAAATTTTTGACGAAACAACTTTCTTGACATCTTTCTCTCAAATCGATAGTTTCGGAGATTAATTGATATATAGGAACACTGAAATTGCAGTTATGAAACTTTGACACTTCTTCACTGAATTCCATAATTGATTAAATTTTTTCAACTTCTGTCATCTTTTTTGTGAATCAACATCGATTTTGCGAATTTAACACTCTCTTCATTATTTATTTATATCCATTGAAACTTTTTTATTGCTGATTATTTTTACGAAAAAAAATCTATTTTGATTTCTTTTTCTTCAAAATTTCTTCTTTTTCTCCAAAATTCACAGGGAAAAAATAGCGAAAATTCATAAACTCCACTTTCTAACCACTGTCCTCTGATAATAGGCGTATCCACAAAAATTGATCGACTCGTGTTTTTTTTTTGTCGTCTCTTGATATTCACCTTTCATAAGAAAAACCCACGTATTACTCGGCGAATTGGTATTCGCTGTTTTAACACATTTCTTCGGTGATCCCTTAACCCGTGGCATTTTGCAACCACGTGTTTGTTGTTGTCAATCCTATTGTTGCAATAACCACTTAACACAACTTTTTTCGCGCCTAATTTATCGAACGACTCTCGTCGATGCTGGGATTGCTGGGTTGCAGAGGGTGACGAGACTTGGGGGTGGGGGTATAACGCATCATCTACTGGCTGACTCGATTTTTTTTTTTTATTACAATTCACTTTTTGCATTTATGGTGGAAACCCGGGTGGGTATCGCTCAAATAGTGTGGAACGCTCTGGGAGAAATTGTGGCGCTAAAGGCACTTCGCCTCGGATGAAAATTAAAATGATTTTTTTCTTACCACGAGAGAAAATTGCGGATAAAGTAGAGATCAGTAGTATTAACAAGACAGGAACAACTGGGAAAATTGAATTGCGAAATCACAATCGCGGAATCGTTGCGAGGCAGAACTTCTCGAAATTTTTGAAAATTTTGTTTTATGAATTTTTTTTTCTCTCGATTTGTCCTAATTCTATTTCATTTTGACGTTTTGGGTCGAATAATGAGACTTTTTTCTCGGAATTTATGAAAATCGAAAGGGATGGTAAATGTTTTGTCATTATTCATCATTTTGAGAATGAATTTCATCTTCACTTTACGTTTTTTAATCTCTTACCCCGAGAGGAAACCTTGTTGTCGATAAAATAGAAGACCTCATCCCATTTGGTGGGAAAATTTTAGTCCGAATTTCTTGTTACGAAGTTATAGCGAGGGCTAAGCCCTAGATATCTTTAAATATCACTTCGCATGGGTTTTGTCCCATTATTTTTTCTATTCTTGCCACAAGTTGATGTTTTGAAGATTCCACAGAGAATATTCACACTCGAATTTCCCGTTATTCTCTTGAAGCCGAAATATCCTCAACTACTTGACAATTTATTTGTTCATAGATTTTTGACTTATATTTTCGTCATATCGTACATGTAAAATATTTTGGTGACTTTTATTTAGTGGTTCTTTGAATTATTGTTTATTATTGGGTGGTAAGGGAATGCTTTCATTGTTAATGAAAATTGATAATAACAGAAAGATCAAGGAGACCTCCAATAATGTCGTATGGTAATCCAATATCGTCAGGGTCGTGTTGGGCACATTGAGCATTCGAATGGATACCTCGATCCACATATAGTACAGACCCACGTTCACATGAATGGAGGCCACAAAGAGCCATAACACGACTCAAGCCCAGGCCATCACAAATCCATATCTATTTCTGTACTGCATCACCTTGCGGAAGTAGCTTCCCTGTCACACGATTAATGCATCCACCGCTAATTTATGGACCTCGGATTATTTAAAGATGATGGGATACTATTTGAGCGTGTCATTACAGATATTAATTACTCAATCGTTTTTCCAATGAATTATCTCAAATAACCAGAAGTGCAAGTCGAAAATGACAGAGGAGCTTTTCCTGGAGAATTTCATACTCTACAAAAATAGCTATGTGAAGTTGGCATCGAAGTTTGAAAAATCTAACTTTTTTTTGTTGGTTTGGATTGTACTCATTGAGTACTTGAATGTACCCTGTGCACTTTTTTTT